GAGAGAGAGAGAGAGAGGCGTGCATGCAAGGGGTTGTCAGTTCCAAACAGGAGAGCGAAGACATCTGATCTGATATATGTGAAGCGGCTGCTGCCATGGACAGGATCTGACGTCGTCGTTCACTTCCACGACATGCAGGTTTGTCAGCATACATAAAGTCGCTTTCTTTCTTCGGAGCGACAGCCAAGTCGATGTAGCAGACGAGATGGCAAGGCATCATTCACCAATTACTTGTCTTTTCTTTAGTTTTCGTGAAGTAACCCCGAATACCTCTTGCAGTCCTCCATGAATCTTTAATTCTACTCGAGATTTTGGTTCATGTCATCGAGCGTCAAATTTGGATACATGCTGACATTTGGGTCCTGCTGAATGCAACCTTCACGGTAGGATGTGACGGGAAGTGAGAGGAGGATCCAAAAATCAAAAGAGAAAATTACTTTAAAGTTCATAGAGAAATATTAAGCTATTTATCATGTGAGATCAATTATAAATAGCATCATCTCTATACACTCTAAAGGGAAGAGGATCATCAAAGTATTTCTCCTCCCTTTCACATCTAAATCTAAAGATACATGAGATATTTATAGAAGCGTCAAACCTTAATTTTTAGAGTTTTCTTTCTTCACGAGGACTCCTTCTCATACTAAGATTCTTTATCCTCGTCGAACGCTGACTTAAGGAACTCCAAATGACTTCAAACAAATCCTAAAGTGTTAACTCTAAAAGCCACTCTCTTTCTCACTCAGGTTAATCCAACTACCGAAGAAAGACTCTCTCTAATTTTTCTTCTTTATGGAAGCTTCCTATCTTACCTTAAAAGAAAAATAATGTTGTTGGATAAGAGATGACACGCCCTATTTTCTTATAGTTACGACAAATATAGAGTCTTTATGAGTCTGACATCGTATGTGCCATACAATATAAACATCAACACATTTGGTATTTAGTCGCATAACATGGAAAGGGAAAGTGCATGGGCCACACATGCGACACTTCTTCCAGCCACGTATGTGCTACTCCGCACTACATCCATCCATATATATGATTTCAAGTTTAATGCAGAGTGGTGAAGGAATAACATTGTGTTTGATGAAAGATGCTTTAGGTGTTTTTAGCATCTCAAAGTAACTCACAAGTGGGTTAAGTGGGAGTGAGCCAATGCACACAAGGTTAAAAGATGAAGACCAAATGAAGTCCCAAAGCATGCAACATAATGATAGGTCAAAGTTGATTGCTAGACTCTAATCTGCCTTCGATCTCCAGCTCTGCAACCTTTGATCCTGACATACCTGCCTTGCCTTTGCAGATACATTCATTGTGTCTCACTGGAATATAACCTGGCATTAGGTTTCAGAGATATGGCATTGCCAGGAGGAAACAAGAAGAAAACCAAGATGTTGTAATTAATCATTGACTAATAATAGTGTAAGTTCCTTACAAATTAATCTTAGTGAAGAATAATTGGGAAACATTTGCTGAACAAAAGGAATGCCAAATAGCTTCTAGCTGGGATTTACAAGCTCATGTTATGGAATGAGATGTCAAGTTATGTATATTATTTGAGTAAACATCGGCTTTAGCTGCATGTTTGAGATCTAATTGAGATTACTATCATCGAGTACTGGAGAGGCAGGTTTTTAAGAGTAGGAAATAAAATGGATTAAGGCCAAACAAATTGGAATTAGGGGAAAGGAGGATGATGATATTATATATGATGAGTTCTTATTCCACAAATATATATGTCCTGACAACAACAATTTAGAGCATAATAACCTTTCACTTTGCACTTTGTCGGGGAACTATAAAAGCAAACTCGTGCATGTGCAAGCGAATGAAGTAACCCAATCCTTTCTTGCTTTTATGACAGTTCTAAGAGAAAAGAGAGACTCGTCTTCTTCTTCTCAGTCTTAACAGCTTGTATCAGTAGACCCATATGATATCCAAGTGGAGCATGGCCTTTGGACAAGCTCTTTCAGCTTTGAAAAGCTCTTACTCGCCCCACACACACTAATGTCCCCTTTTCCTTGCTTTTCTGCCTCAATGGTCTCCTTGTCTTTCTCTCTTTCCTTTGATATGATCTTGGTCTCATGGGTGGTACCTGATTTCATGTGATCACATCTGGTCATACCATGTCTTGCCGGATGACGACTCTAGATGCAATGTGGCCTTCCCAAGGTAAACTCAAGATTGGGCTTTTCCGTGTTCCTCTCCGAGAAGCTTGACGAGTTCACGTCGGGCACCATCTCGGATCCTTTTGATTGCATGTCCTGCACAGCAAAAAAAAAAAGTGGATGCCATTCTTTTCATTCGCCATCTTGATTTTTTCAAGCAAGCGAAGGCTACTTGTCATGTAAAATGATGGGATCAAGTATTGTGACCTCGAAAGAATTTACGCTCCACGCGGTGGAATCGCTCGGTCTATCGAGGAAGCAGCCTCCCCTGCTGCCCAAAAACCCATCACCAAAACAGAAGATTTCCGCATCACTAGTAGTCCATTGCAAGATAATTCAAGGAAAGAAAGTTGTCTTTCACTATTTGCTCGGTGTGAATCGCTTGCTTTTCTCAGCTTTGCGCATTGAACTAAAGTTGAACCCCCCCTCCCCCCCCCATGTGGTGCCCATTACTCATTAGGACAAAGTGCAGTGAAGTTTCACAAGGCTTAGCTTTAGCACCAAGAATGCAACCTCATAGAGAAAAGAAAGAATATGAAGTTGGTAGGCTTAGATACACAAATCTCCTAAAGAAAGTTGGGGTGTGCTTCTTGAATTTGTGGGGGGTAAGTAATCTCTTTAGTCCTTCAAGCTACTCAAGAAGATCATTAGACCATTATGGGGTTCGATGTTCACCTGTTCCTAGGCAGATGGAACAAAGTTGTGATCTTTTACTGCTTTTTGTGAGCACTTAGATGGAGACCAATATTATAGATAAAGAGAGAGAATGAAGAGAACTTGTAGCTTTGCCTGCCTAAAGTAGATAGATCATTGGGTCTTGTCACTGTAGTGGCAAGATTTCTTATTATGTTATTCTGGTGGCATTCATACTTTTGACATTCAACCATCATATAATATTCTCCTTTTTCTTTCAGTGTAAATTTACTGTAAAATACCTATTTCCAGTTTATTTCATATAAGGCTAGCAGTTGACAAGAAAGAGCATGGAAGAAGGAAGACAGAATGCAACTATCGAAATGCATACATATGTTTGAGTGTATGATGGTTTAGTGTAAGATCTGAGATCTACAGATGCACAAACCATTTAGTTCTGTGGACACTGAAGACTCTTTGCTTGCTTTGGTAAGTGAAATCAGGTGGCGATGTGCTTCTTTTCTTTTCAAAATAAAAGAAGAAAAATCTTCATTTCATTGGATATAATTACTGCATATTGACATGAGAATTTGCTGATGTTCTTATTTATGCAATAAAGAATTCATTGCCTCCAGAGAAGCTTCTTCTTCTTTTTTGCTGAATATGAAGACTAAGCATACATCTCTGACTAAAAATGTTTTTTTTTGCTGTAAGGAAATTGAACAGAAATAAACCAGACGAAGCAATATCATCACCTGGAAGAATTGCTCCATAAGCCATAATCATCTGTGCCCGTATCTTCAGTAGACCTCGCTCGTTGACCGGAAGCTTCTGTTCCCTGGATCTCAGGCAAGTTGTCATCAGAAATCTCTATAGGTTCATTTTGCCCTGGGACAAGGGAAATATGAGCTCGAGAATTGAAGCCACATCTTGATGCATTATAATGACTGAAATAAGAAGCAAATTGGAACCCGAAGAAAGGGAGGAAAACCTGCGATACCAGAGGAAGCTGCTTGTCTATCGGTCGTCTTCACGGTCCGATACATCTGCAATCATACACATAAAAAAGCTTCAGGAGAGTTAGCAAGACACTTGTATGATCAACACAGGATTGGATGATTTAGGGCATATCCGACGCTTGATGTGGAGCACTTATTACCATGTACCATAAACAGCTCCACAAAATAAATGGCAAGGAAGTATCGGTGGCTGTACTTTAAGTATGTATCATTAAAGATTTGGGTTTGATTTGAGAAGGAATTTTGTGTTTTTGTCTCTATGATCAAGAAGCTAGAAGCTTGCAGAACCCACTGTCGTCTGGGAGAAAGGAAGGAGATCAGATAGAGAGAAGAACCCTGCTGTCTTCTTTCGAGCGTGATCAATCTTGAAGAACCATTCAAGAGCTTCATTTCTTACGGCAGGGAGAAGAACTGGGAAGTAGTTGACATCAAACGGAAGAAGAGGAGAAATCCAGTAAAGCTGAAACAGTATGGTGTCCTATGGCCGTCGGAGACCAGTGTCGAAAGTAAGCTCGGTACCTGTAGGTGAGATTTCACATGAGCCAAGGTGAGATCTTTGACGTCCATGAGCTCAAGGACTGACTTGGGTGTTGCCCCTAACATCCAAGCGGCACAGCAAAGTAATGATTTCAGTACGCGGCAGCGAATCATGTCTGCAAGGGAGAAAGAAGAGAAGGATCCACATCTTACGCACTTTCATGGCCTCCCAGTAGCTCCACCGCATGGACGAAGCGGGCGTGGAGCGTGGTCGTCCACCGCATTCTTGGGGCTCTCATGCTTCGCTTCGCAGGGAAGCGCGGCAAGAATCTCGAGGTCGACCTCGACGATCCCTGCGCCGCCGAGTCACATGAATGTGGCTGGTGGTGGTGTTGCTGCTGCTGCTGTTGGTTCTCGAGGAAGTGGAAGGCTGCAGGAGGGTTGTGGTACACGGGAATTCCCCTTATCGGCATTAACAGACCGAGATCCTGGCGGTATCCTTGGTGAAGCACCGGGTGGTGCTGATGGAAGTGGAGGTGGTGGTGGTGGTGGTGGCCTCTGTTGGTGCCGTGGGTCTCCGAGGCACTTTGGTTGGCTAAGGAGAACTCAAAGCCGGCGTTGTCAGCCTTGGCCAGCGATGGCGCGGTGTCGCTTTTGTCGGAGGACTCTATATCTCTCCAGCAAAACCCTAAGTCAAGATTCTCATCACTCGTCCTGCTCCAGCTTGGCGTGGGCTTGCTACTAGGAGGACTAATTTGCAGCGACAGGTCAGGCTGTGCCGGGAAAAGCTCCATGTTAGTTTTTCCTTCTCCCCCCCCTCCGCCTCCCTCCCTCCCTCCCTCTGGATCTTATCCTTCTCCTTCTCTACCCGGTAGCAGCACTACTTATATACAGGTTTGGTGCCGAACGATGCGAGTGGAGGGGTGAGCATAAATGAGTCCGTGTCTGCTGGGGGAAGCGATAACTTGTACAGGAGTCGTGATCAAAGGTGGGAAGAGATGAGTTGTAAAAGGACCGTATGGTGTGAAGTGAAAGTTGTGGATTCTTGATAGCTTTACAGAGGAGGATAGGAGAGGAGAGGAGAGGGATGCGTGCGTGTGAGAGGTGCGCTCGTGTGCATGAGGATCTTTAGGTCCGTCCATCCACACCATCAAATGGGAATGCGATTGCGATGGGCTTCTCATCGGGTGGGTTCTTCATGGACCTCTCTCCATGCATACGACCTATTACTTGCTTCTCCTGAAAACCGACCTTATGATAGATAGATAGATAATATGATGCCCTCCCGGCGTGAGGATGGGCATGAAATAGCGAGGAAAGAGTGGCGGATGGATGATGCAACGAGTTATGTGAATCATAAAGAGGGTCCTACGGTACATGTGATGCAGATGGAACCATGTCACTTGTACTTGGAAGAAAAATGGTAAGTAGACGCGTAATGTATGTATGGGTCGTCCAGCGTCCACGCAGATGGCAGGCATAGTTACCCATACTCTCCTCGCTTCCTTGTAATACATACATGTCATCCACGTGGAGTGACAGCGCCGAGTCATGTCCATGTTATCTGTACTCACCTGTTCATTTTCCTGAGCCGACTTGGCTGCTTTCCCTCGATGACGATTCCTGCAGTCGAGCCATTATCACTGCATCCCTTCTTTCCTCCGTTCTGTCTCTATCTCCCTTCTTTCCTGCTCGAACCTTAGCTAGCTTCGACACTGTGAACACAGTGGCGAGACAGGGAGAGAGAGCGCTGATATGTGACAGGAAGAGATGGGATTATTTTTATTATAGTGGTGGTGGTGGTGGTGGTAGTAGTATTTTTCATCTTGACATGGGGAAAGAGATATCATATCATGCATGTGGATCGAAAGACAGCAACAGCACGTACCAAATAGACATGAGAGAGTGTACTGCTCAGAGAGAGATGACCCAGAGCTTTAAATGCCTTTGTCTTGTTGGTGGACTTGTTTGATGTTTGTGCTACCTCATATGCTCTCTCACATGAGCGACCACCAATGAACCAACACCCCAAAGAGACGTGTAACTATTTAAATCGAATGGCGTGGGATAAGATAACGCTTCCCAGAATTAATTTGTTCTGTCACATCCGATATTAATGCACTCCCATCCCTCTGTTTACCACAGCGTGCATTTTAGTTGTATGCACACCAAAACATTGGGCTTCCGAGAACCTCAAGATTCCCAGGAACAATGCTCATAGGGTTGTCGTCTCGGCCATTTGCTCCGAGAACGAGACTGTGTGCGTGCCATGAATGGCGATTCTTTTCGGTGGAGTCAACCATCAGTGTGTGTCAACCCTCATGGCTAGATGATGCAGTTACACATACACGCATGTATAAGAGGTAAGTAGGGAGGATTGAGGAACAAGTGTGAGCACCCGAGAAGCAGGGCCAGTTGCGTCTTGTGGACGATACATTACACCCCAAGGCTTCGGTAAACAAGATAGGAAGTTGGGATCCCTTTTAGTTAGTTTATAGATTGGGGACATACTAATGCATACATTATACTGCCTTAATCATCTTCTCCGAACATACCCTGTTGGAAAATAATTCTCAAGGGTGGTGGTAGGGCTAAAATATTGATCGAGAAGAAACAATAGAAAGCAAATACAAAAGAGAAATGTTATATCATCCATGGCATTCTATAGATCTGTGCTCGCACTTTGGAGTTCTGCTACCTTAGCCACGGGAGGAGGAGATAGTATAGTATATTCTCGTGTGGTGAAGGTAGCGTCAAATTGGTAATTTCCAATCCATATCTGCGTTCTGGGATAAGGTAGATCGGATTCTTAGTTCGGCTGGCATATGCATCACCAATAGAATCCTGCTACTTTTATCCCCAAAAGAATAAAAAAGAGAAGGAGAAAGGCAAGAACGTACGTGTCTCTCCAGTCCCGTTAATGGAGACAGCTTCTTCCGATTACTTGGTTTAGAGAAGAGACATGATGCGTTTACGTTCGAGACCCGTCATCCTACAGATTCTTTAGGGCCCCCATATGACGTGATCTGATTCTTCGCTATGATGACCTTAATATGCCAGTCCTGATGTCTGCATCAGAGCTTTAATTGTTCTATCTGAACGCACGGAAACCACATCCAACTATCGTAACATCTGTAAAATTGTCTTACCTAATTTCTCGAGGAGTTTCAGATACGGCAATTGGGCCAGCAGAGTGAATAAAATAGTTCACGGAACAAATATATTCTCCTTTATCCTTCCTCGCCTCTCTTCCATGAATCAAATCTGCAACGGAAGAAGAAGAAGAAGACAGCATAACTCAATATTGCAAATGAAAACATCAAGAATGTACCTGTTGGGTTTATAGCGAGGAATAAAGACACCATGATTGAATACTTCGGTCAATCAAATCTAAATCGAATATTTTGAAGAAGCAGAATCTGGAACAACACTACGGATTCTTAAACAAGCTTTTCTTACGATGCCTACACACTCTTACCCCGTTCACAGTCAATTATAAGCAGAACTGGGCATCTACGAGTGAATATACAACCAGGCAAGTTCAAATGAAATGAAATGATTGTCTGGTGCTTCAAACTCGAACTCTCTCTGTCGGCTTCAGGGACACAGAAAAAAAAAAAAATAATCCATCACAGGAATATAACTCTTATCGGTCCAAGGGGCAAAATGTTCAAACCACATGCACAATTTCGTGTGCAACTTATTCAAGTGCCAAATGTAAGAAATGAATCATTTGAAGAACAAAGTAAATCAGAAAATTAGCAGAATGATCATTCCTGACAGTGGAATCGTAACCGAGAAGAAATGATCCACCAATATACAACTAGTATGATACAATTCTACTGTTGTTCAGCATTAGAGAATAAGAAATGTGGTCGAGAAGAATCAAGTCGTGCCAGCACCTCATTTGGAGGCCTACACAAAGAATCAATTAGGTGAGTTGACCTGTTCTAACTCATCTTGTTAATTGATAACTGTGATTAGTCCGACGTTGCTTTCTATTATCAGAGACCAATTAAAATCTCAAGTTAGCATCCGCCCATCACAGCATGCTTTTATGAGGCATGCCGACTAGTATATTTGCCCCCTGGAAATCTACTGCCAGGATCATCTCGTGCAACTGAACCACTAGGAAAAGAAGGTCCTCTAACTTTTAAGCGCTTTGTCCCAAGTTCGATGGATGGCGAATTCCTGATGATGTCTAATGAGTTGGATTGAAGACCATCCCCTTTGTTCCGATTCACTTTTAGTTTAGTAACTTCATCAACAAAGACTTCCCGTCTGATTTTGAAGGATTTTGGTACCATTCCTTTGGAACTCCTGCTAAAAACAGGTTCAAGGTTCTCAACAAAATGACCAACTGGAGCATAATGATCTGCCATGGAAAGATTAGATTCTGATGGTGCCACATGCAGATGCCTTCCTTCCGGACGGACCTTCTTCAACCGTTTTAACCCCTATCGATAAAAATCACAATGTAGACCACGATAGTTAATAAATAAAACAAAGAAATTCAATGTGAACAAAAAAAAAAAAACGAGAGCTAAGTGAAGCAATTAACCAAACACAAAGAAATTCAATGTAGCATAGAACAGGAATAAGCAATTCGAATAAAGTTCAAAGCCAGAACTTAACCACATGAAATGCATTTATTCACTGAAGTGACTGTTTATCTAAAAATCTAGAAATCAGACAAGCCAATGCACAAGATAGTGCTGCTGCAACCACCACATGAATCACCTTAAATTCAGGGAAAACACTGGAGATTCAATCATGCATGTGCAGAAGGCCATAAAAGGGGACGGAGATTTTCAGAGATGATGCTCATGATAAGAATATGCTGGACAACATAAAAATGAATTTCAAAAGAGGTACATAACAAACTAATTATCTTAAAACCTTGGTGGAATCGCAAGTTCAAGCCATTTTAGTATCAAGATTCAAGAGTAATATAAAATGAGTGTGTAATATAGACATCTATAGTGTCTGTCATTGGCTGATGGTATTTTTTTTGCATGATAAAAATTTAGTGGAGTTTTAAACTTGAATTATAAAGAAATGCTAAAAACTAAATAATTTAAATTTAAGTTAATACAATTAACATGATGCTAAGAAAAGAATTGAGAGCATAATCAAGATGGACAAATGACAAGTTCTTGTGAATAAAAGACTTAGATAACTTGTTCATAAAAAAGAAGAGGTTAAATTGAAGCATTGTTGGCAAGTATAAGCAGGTTGTTACAGTGAATAGTTTTGCTTAATCATCATTTGTCTTTCAAGTAAAAAAGAAAAGAAAATAGTTGCAAAGAAGTTATGCTCTATTGGGTGGGCGTTAAGCAAAAAATATTGAGATGAATGTGAGAAGAAGTGTTTTCTTTCACAAACACTTAAAATAGTGTCAACAAAGGATAAAATATCACTTAAGGTGATGTAAATATGTTAAAATAAGATTTATAGATGTTAATTAGGATTAGTAATGTGAGAAGAGGTGGAGAAAGACCTAAAAGAAGCTTACTAGAAACAATGAAAGATAATGCTCTTGATTTACCTAAAGACAATGTTTTGAATATCGATCGGGTCAATGCGTACCAATTGGTATTTGCTGGTTCAATCAAGTTTTGGTATCAAAACTTATAGATTGATATCCATAGATATCAATTTATTTTTATTATTTTATTCATAAAAAAAAAATATTATGTTACATTATACTTGACGAAAGTTTGACGAATCAACATAAGTTGATCATATTAGATATTTAGTATAGAAAATGAAAGAAGAAAAAGATAATAGAAAAAATTACTAGGACTACATGATGAAATTTTAAAGATGATAATATAAACACTTTTTTAGAATAAGATGAAAAAAGGAGCGACTTGAAATTTAGATGAGTATAATATTAATATTATTTAAATTATGATGGCCAATAATATTAGGAGCTTAACAAAAGAGATTCTTGATCAAACTAAAAGTAGAGGTGTAGCCTTAAGAGAGAGTTGGGTGGTGGTGTGAAGAAGTTCAAAAAATAATTTTTACTAAAAGATCATGTTTTAAAGATTAGCAAAACTGGAAAAAAAAAATTAAAAGATATAGAATCTAAAAAGAGGTTAAAAAAGCTACTAATATGGTAAGAAATAAAGTTTATAATATTTTTTATAATAAAATAGAAACTTAAGGCAATGAAAAAGATATATATATCAAATTACTAAAGTTACAGAAAGAG